AGCCAGGAGCAGGAAGCTCAGCCCAGGAGACCTTGAGGGCCCAACAGGGGACCCAGCCCTGGGAGCCTGGGGGTCAGGCCAGTCTCCTCTTTGCCTCCCTCACTCCCATCTCTCTTCTACCCTCAGGACTTCAGGTCCCCACAGCCAGCTTCCTGTCTGGGAAGGGACACAAGCTCCCTCTCTCTGAGTGCCTTTGTTGGGGGCAGCCTCACTCTCAAACCAGGCTGTAGCCGGCAGCCTTGCAGCCTCCTGCCCCACTCGCAAAGTGGGAAACTGAGGTACAGCCCAGGCCAGTAACTGACTCTAGGTCCCAGACCAAGGGAGTGAGTTTCAAGGCACTTCCTCTGACAGGTCAACAACACAGTAGAAATGCTGGCAGAACCAGCCGGAAGCTGCCTTAGGAGGAAAAAGGAGGAAGGAAACAGGCAGCTGGTGGTCAGTCACTGGGGCGCTGGCATTCCAGGCCAACCAGGCGGTTCACCTGGGTGCTAACCCTGCCAGACAGGTGCTCTGGAATGCAGCCTGGATGCTCCACCCCCTCAGACTTTAGCTCGGTGTTTCCCCACAGTGATGAGGTGGCAGCATGGAAGCAGCCACGGCAAGGCCACCTCGGGGGGAACAGAGGGCAGGGAGTGGTAGTGAACTAATCTCATCCTCGGAGATAGCTATAAGTAAATCAGACTCTACCTACCCAGGTGACCCTGCAGAAGGTCTTGGGTCTTAGTGTCCTCATCCGTCAGTTCTGGACAGACTCAGCCTAGCAGATAAAAAAGAGCTAAAGGGAAAGTGAGCCCAGCCTGGCACAAAACGTGGCTGGCGGTCCTCTCCTTCTGCACCCAGTTTAGCTGTTTGGGGAAGCCCCCAAGTCCTGCCAGGCCTGTATTCCCAGCTGGGTCCCTGCGTACTAGTCTCTACTCCCAGGTTTGTGTTAGTGTGCAGTTGCCGTGGATACCAATCTCAGCTTCTTTGGCAGAAAAGGACTCCTCCAGGGCAGGGCTCTGCCTCTCCTCACCACCACCTCCCCAACTCCAAATGCCCAAAGTGCCATGGGCGGGATCAAATGGAAGAAAAATAGGTCTCGGGAGGGGAACAGGTGCCTCCAGAGAAGTTGAGGAATGACCTTGGTTCTCAGATAGTCATTCACCAACCAGAAGCAGGGCCTAGGCCAGCTCCCATTGCTGGGCCCGGCTCCAGGAGCAGAATGCCGCCACCTACACCCCTAGGTGGAAGAATGGAAGCCCAGGGGCAGAGGCAGCTCTGGCACCAGAAGCAGAGCTGGGAAGAGGGGACCCAAGACCCTCCCCAGAGGGGCTGCCTCCTTCTACTGGCCCAGCAGCCGCAGGTGGGCTCAGAATGCAGAGTTGGGGGCTGCTAGCTGGCTGAGGCCACGGAAGCAGGATTCATGTGTGCTGGGGGAGTTCACACGGCCGCAGCTAAATTGAACTGAAATTCATCTGCCCCAAAGGGCTCTGCCCCAGCCAACATAGTGCCTGTGTTTCCAGGCCAGAAGCAGCGGTATGGCCCACCTCCACCTGAGGCTCCTGGGCTGGAGAGAGGGCTGCAGTGGGTGGGGCTAGTGGAGAGTCTGGTCTTACTCTGCCTGCTGTGTGACCTTGGATAAGTGTCCACTTTCTCTGGGCGTCAGTGTCCCCCGTCTGCCAAAGGTGGTGGAGGATAGGGCTTAGACGAGATTCCTGGGCTACCTCCATTTCATCCAACTGAAGCGTGCTCAGTAAGAAAGGCAGGAGAGGGAGCCTGACCCTCATCACTGGGTTTTGAGGCCTGCTACCCTCAGGGGGTTCTCATGGGGAGGAGGAGAGGCCGTAATTAACTGGATCACATGTGGCGCGCTGGGAACGCTAGGGCAGGGGCAGAAGCTCCCTGCATTCCCAGGATGGAGCCCAGCCCTGGTGGAGAACAGAGGGATCTGCAAAGCCATCCTGAAAGGGACTGTCATAAACAACAAACTGGGAAGGGCATCGTGGCTGAGGCCACGGCTTGAGCAGAGAGGCATGGCAGAGGAGGCAGCTGACATTGGTGAGGCCTCCCTAGTTTCTGGCCTCAGACCAGGTGCTACAGATGCATTCTCATTTACTCCACACAACCCAGGAGGTGGAGAGGAGGAAATGATCACACAGAAGGCTTAGGTGACATCCCCAAGGTCACACAGCTGGTACGTTGAGGTGCCAGGACTTGAATTCCAGCATCAGACTCTAGATCTGTGCTGTAACCTCTAGCCGGTGTGGCTGTTGAACGCTGAAGTGCAGCTAGTCCAAACTGACACGAGCCATCAACATAAAGCCCACACACTGGATTTCAAGGATGGCATATGAAAAAGAATGCAAACCAACCCACTAACAATTTTTTATATTGATTGCATGATAGAATAATAATATGTTGGCTATATTGGGTTAAATAAAATATAGTCTTAATTAATTTCACCTGTTTCTCTTTACTTTTCTTAATGTGGCTCCTAGAAAATTTTAAATTATATATGTGGCTTGCATTATATTCCTCCTGGACGGAGCTGGTCTATACCATGAAGACAGGACATGTGCACGGTGGATTTAAGGGAGGACAGTGGGGACTCATCCCATTCTTTGTTGGAGGGGCCGGGGTCATATTGTGAGGGTCTCAGAGGCCAAGTGGGGCAGACATCAAAGGTGACTGAGCAGCAGAATGTCTACCTCCCCTCCTCTATCCCTGCTGGGCCAGCCAGCCACAGGTGGACTCAGACCTGGGATGGTCATTACCCTGGCCCCCGGCATAAGACACATCAAGCCATAGTAGTGGCTGTAGAGACAGTAAATCTTCCTGAACTTTGGGGAGCAGAGGGCGGGGAAGTCTACCATAAACAGAGAGAGAGATGGAGCCAGGCTTATCCGGAGAGGAAATCTGTGTGCGTTGTGTACTGGGGGGGCAGGGCGGCCTGCGAGCTCCTGCTTCTGCTGGGACAGGGAGGGAGGCACAGCCCGGGCAGTGTTTGCACAGGGGTTTCCGCGCTTTCCTCCCTACTGCCCCACTCCCCCCTCACCAACTCACCAGAAATGTGCTATCTTGTTCCCCCACTCTGACATTCTGACTCAGGGACCCAAGTAAGGGTGCAGGCAGATAAGCACCAGACTCCTTGATCTCCCCCTCTCCACCTGCCAGAGTCAGTTCCCCCAAGAATGTCAGAGGGGGTGGTCTGGGCTGGAAATACAAGCTGGCAGTGTGATGGTGCCAGCGGCAGCACCAATCATTCCCAGCTGAGTGAGGGCGGGGAAGACTCTTTCCAGGCAGAAGCATACTAGTAGACCTAATGCCAGCTCTTTCGTCCACACTTGGGGTCATCTTGGATGAGGGCCACAAGGGGCCTCAGTTTCCCCACCTATGGACAGAAGTCTATCTTGATCAGCCTGCAGGTTTCCAGTGTTCTGTGACTTTTCCCCACAGGGTGGCACCTGAGCTCCCACGTCCCAGGCAGCATGGTGCACACACATACATGACAGGGGTTGGTGCCCTTGGGTGACCCTCAGTATTCCTGCTTATCAAGAGTCTCTTGGGAATGGCAAGAGCCAGAAACAGGTGCCAGCGGTACCCACCTCCAACTCCTTCCAGCGGAGGGAGGGGAGAACCCAGAGGCTTTCTAAGCCAGGGTCGGTCGAAGGGGCAGCCTCTGCCATCCCAGCAGAGTTCTCCCCTTCCATATGTCACAAAGCACCATTCTACAGAGGGGGAGACTGAGGCTCAGAGAAGGGGCCCTGGGTGCCATGTGCTAGATGGCTACCCAAGTAGCCATTACGCTAGGGCTCTCCTCTCTCCAGCACCACAAAGCTCCCTTTAAAGTCTATCCATAAAAAAAAATTTCTTTGGTAGCTGTCTTTTATTTATTTATTTATTTATTGTAGCTCTAGATTTTACTAAGCTGTGGTTGGGAAGGTTCTGGGCCAGCATGTCAGGTACACAGTCAGTTCTCTCCTACCACAGGAAGCCCCCACTAGGCCAGCCTGACCAGAGTCCCCTTCTCTCAGCTTATACCATTCCCACCCAGGGGATGCTCAATCTAGAGCAAGTCCCTACCCTCAGGCCCCTGAGCAGTGGGGCAGGGGAGAAAGCTAACAGAATTCCAGAACCCTGTCCATCCTCAACGGGCCCAGGGATCAATCACCTCACAAATGGGGAAACAGACCTAAACACGAGCTAAGACTGGACCAAGGTCACACACCAAGCATATTAGAGGCAAATCTGGGGCTGGAATCCAGTTGTTCTATCCACTCTCACTCCATCCCCAAGGATGGTCCCCAGAGATGCTCAGAGAGCATGAGGCCGCCCCTTTCTTGCCCCAGTGGCCTCCCTAGGCCCCCCCGAGCACCAGGGAGCAAGGGAGGCCGCGTCTTCAGGCCTCTAGCCAGGGCCAGCTGCAAACCGCATCCTGGGTCCCCAGACGCCGCGGACCCGCCCCGCCCCTCCCTCTGCTCCCCGCAGCCCCGAAGCCTTTGTCAGCCACGCGCTCACACACACATCCGCGCCACCACGCGCGCACACACTCGGTCTCCCTGGCGCACACCCGCAAGGGGCGCGCGCACTCGCCGCCCGCACGCAGGGGATGGAGGCGGCGGAGGAAGGAAGGAACTGACGGGCCACCGACGGACAGACTGCCTGGGCTGGGGGAGGGGGAGAGAGGCCTGGGAACCTGCAGCTGGGGAGGGAGAGGGCGCGGAGGCTAGAACGCAGAGAACGCAGAGGAGACTCTCGGAGAAGAGGACAACGGCTGGGACGTCAAGGGCTAGGGAGGGCGCGCGGGCTGATCCAGGGGTGGGGACTCCCCCAGACCCTGGCCCTGGGCAGGGAAGGCGTCCCTGGATTGGACCCATGGAGCCCAGCTGTGCCTTAGCTGAAGGTCCCTTAGAGATCGATCCCACGTAGGGCTTGCATATAGGGGGCCTGGGACCAAAGGCTCCCTGGGGTACCTCGATGAGGGGGTCCTGGTTCTCGGGCTGGGTGGGGCATTCGCTCACCTGCCACGGTGTACCTGTCCAGGTAGTTGAGCACGTTGCCCAAGCTGAGGATGGCGGCGGCTGCCCCCCGCCCGCGGCCCAAGCTGGCCGGTTTGGGCGGCTGCCCGCCGGGGCCCTTGGCCGCAGCTGCGCAGCCGGGGGTGCCAGGAGTTCCAGGGGGTCCGGGCGGGGCCC